GGGAATATGCCGTGGGGTGTGATGCTGGAGAAGAGACATGCGAGATAGAGAGGGGGCGGAAGGAACTGGGAGTGACTTGGGCAAATGTAGACAGGCGGGCTTTGCGGCCACCGTCACCCAGCCTGTTTCGGGGTGGGGGGTGGGGGGTGGGGGAGGCGGAATCTAGGCTGATGCTCCCTGAATAGGACGAAGGCACTGGCCCGCTCTGTCCGTGGCCTGGGTCACCCGGATGGCAGTTCTGGGTGTTTGCAGGGACGCAGGCTCCCAGGGCTCGCATCCTGGCTCCCGCCTTCCTGCTGTACCGAGACTGTTAGCATCTCTATGTGTCCCTGTGTTCTGGATGCAGGGCTTGACGAATGGGGAGAATAAGTGGGTAAACATACCTGAGGAGCTCAGCACCCTGTCTGGCCCGGGGTGAAGTTCTTCATTAATGAGCTTTTAGTTTTATTGCTTTTCCTTTTTAAAAAAAAAATCAGTGTTTTTTAATTATTCAAGGGCAAGAACTAGTGTTTGGGTTGCTGAGTGGAAAACCAGCTCTGCTTTTTCTCTTTTTAAACTGTTACCTCTGGGACCCTAACTCAGCTCCTCCAGGATCCTGGGAAGTCTCAGCGGAGCTGTTTGCAGGAGTCTGAAGTCATGGCTCAATCTGATGGTGGTTTTGAAGGGCAAGACTCTATTTTCCTTGAGCACATCAATCTCTCAAAAGGCTGAGTGAGGAGGTAAATTTGAGACGTCAGGCCTGGCAGCTGACAAGCAAATCCTGAGTGCGTTTGGGCTGCAGTGTCGAGGGCAGACTGGGGTAAGGACCAGGCGCGGGTGGGGGCTGGCAGGGGGTGGGGGGGGGTGAGGTCTGGTTTTCCTGGTCATGAAAAATGAGGCCCAGCCATCAGCAGGGGGCTCCGGACTTCCTATGCTCTGTGCATCACCCCCTCGTGCCCCCAAGTGCACAGACCCGGCCCTTGTATTTGAGATGTGGAAACACACCCTCCTCCCCCACCTTCCCCTCCTCAGAAGCAGGTGCTGTTGGACTAAAATAGGCATCAAGAAAAGATCAGAATTTGGGAAAAATATTGTCCCAACCTCACCACGCAGATATAAGCACGGTCTACATTTTCAGCTGTTTCAGTCATTTCTTGGCCAACAAAGCTATTTTATTTCATAAACATAACTAACTAAGGCATGCGATTTAAATTTCTATTCATCTTGTAATAGTTTGTCATAAGCATTTTACAAAGCTCTTGCAGAGTTTGCAAGACTGTTATTTAAAAGTTAGTATTTTTTATTTTCATAAACATGGTTTTCACAGCTTTTTGAGGTCTAATTGATATTCGGTAAACCGACACAATTAATGCTTGGCAGGTGTATATACCCCTGCAACCACCACTGCTATCAGGAAAAGTAGCCTCACCTTCGGAAGCTTCCTTGTGCCCCTGGAGATCCATCCCTCCCGCCCTCTGAACCCCCTCTTGTCTCGAGGCCTCCACCAACCTGCTTTCTGTCTCCGTGTCATAGTTTGAATCTTCTGAACTTATAAAGATGGAACTCTAGGGTATGCATTCTTTCTCATCCAGCTTCTTTCAATCAAAGTAACTGTTCTCAGGTTCATCCATGCTGCTGCGAGCATCGAGGCTCCATTCTTTTTATTGCTGACTGAACTCCATGGCATAGATACATCGCAATTACTTTATCCACTCACCTGCTGAGGGATATTTGGGTTGTTTACAGCTTCTGGCTCTTGCAAATAAAATGGATCTGAAAATTCATGCACAGGACTTTGTACGGATGTGTGGTTTCATTTCCTGTGTAAAAACACCTGTGAGTGGAACAGCTGAATCCTAGGTTGCAATACCTTTAAACTTTAACTTTGAAGAAACTGTTTTCTAAAGTGGTTGCACCATCCTCCGTTTCTGTTTCTCCACAGTCTCTCGAGAGGCCGTCTGACAGATTCAGCGGCTCTGATAGGCTGCAGTGTCTCTCACTGTGGTTTTAATTTGCATTTCTTCAATGATCCATGATGTGGAGCACTTTTTTGTGTGCTGATTTGCCATCAATATCTCCTCTTTGGTGGAGTATCTGTATATCTTCTGCCCACTTTTTTTGACTGTTGAGTTTTGTCTCCTGATTTTAGAGTCTACATATGAGTGATATCACATGATATTTGTCTCAGTCTGTCTGACTTCTCCTGATGATGATCTCTAGGCCCACCCATGTTGCTGCAAATGGCATTCTTCCTTTCTCTTTAAATCCCTGAGCAGGATGCCATTGTGTATATGTACCATATCTTCTCTATTCATTCATCTGTCAGGGAACATTTGCGCTGTTTCCAAGTCTTGGCTATTGTGAATGGTGCTGCTCTGAACATAGGGGTGCATGTATCTTTTTGAACTAGAGTTTTGTCTGGATATATGCCCAGGAGTGAGATTGCTGGATCATATTGTAATTCTATTTTTGGTTTTCTGTCAAACCTCCACACTGTTCCCTATAGTGTTGGCCTCAACTTACATTCCTACCAGTAGAGGAGACGGGTTCCTTTTCTTCCTCACCCTCTCCAGTATCTGTTACTTGTACACGTTTTGATGGTGATCTTTCTAACTAGTGTGAGGTGATAGCTCACTGTGGTTTAGATTTGAATTTATCTAATAATTCATGATGTTGAGCATCTTTTATGTGTCTGCTGGTCATCTGTATGTCTTATTTGGAGAAATGTCTATTTAAGCCTTCTGTCCATTTTTTTATTGGGTTGTTCATTTTTTTGTGTTGTTGAGTTGTGTGAGCTATTTGTATATTTTGGAAATTAAGCCCTTGTCAGTCACATCATTTGCAAATATTTTCTCTCTGTTGAGTTTTGAGAGCTCTTTATACATTCTGGATGCAAGTCACTTTTTTTTTATATATACTTTGAAAGACTGGAGCTCTCTTCAAGAAAATTAGAGATATCAAGGGAACATTTCATGCAAAGATGGGCACAATAAAGGACAGAAATGGTATGGACCTAAGAGAAGCAGAAGATAATGAGATGAGGGTGGCAAGAATACCAGAAAAACTGTGCAAAAAAGGTCTTAATGACCCGGATAACCATGATGGTATGGTCACTCACCTAGAGCCAGACATCCTGGAGTGTGAAGTCAAGTGGGCCTTAGAAAGCATCACTATGAACAAAGCTAACGGAATTCCAGGTGAGCTATTTCAAATCCTAAAAGATGATGTTTTTGAAGTGCTGCACTCAATATGCCAACAAATTTGGAAATCCGGTCCCATCACTTCATGGCAAATAGGTGGAGAAACAATGGAAACACTGACAGACTTTATTTTCTTGGGTTCCAAAATCACTGTGGACTGTGACTGCAGACATGAAATTACAAGATGGTTGTTCCTTGGCAGAGAAGCTATGACAAACTTGGACAGCATATTAAGAGGCAGAGATATTACTTCTTTGACAAGAGTTCATATAGTCAAAGCTATGGTCTTTCCGGTAGTCATGTATGGATTTGAGAGTTGGACCGTAAAGAAGGCTGAGTGTTGAAGAATTGATGCTTTTGAACTGTGGTGCTGGAGAAGATTCTTGAGGGTGCCTTGGATGGCAAGGAGATCAAACCAGTCAATCCTAAAGGAAATCAACCCTGAATATTCACTGGAAGGACTGATGCTGAAGCTCCAATCCTTTGGCCACCTGATGCAAAGAGCTGACTCATTTGAAAAGACTCAGGTGCTGGGAATGATTGAAGGCAGGAGGAGAAGGGGATGACAGAGGATGAGATAGTTGGATGGCATCGTCAACTCACTGGACATGACCTTGAGCAACTCTGGAAAACAGTGGAGGACAGGGAAGCCTGGCGCGCTGCAGTCCGCGGGGTTGCAGAGTTGAACAACTCAACGGCAGCAAACGCTTGGAAGTATTTTCTCCAAACTGTGCTTTGCCTTTTCATTTTCTTAACAGTGTCTGTTGAATAGCAGAAGCTTTAGATTTTGATGAGGTTCCACTTATTGATTTATCATTTTATAGATTGTGCTTATAGTGTCATATCTAAGAAATCTTTGTCTAACTCAAGGTCACTAAGATTTTATCTTATATTTCTTTGAAAGTGTTGTAATTTTGGGTTTTATACCTAAATCTTTTACCCAATTTGAATTAATTTCTGTATATGATTTGCTGTATGGATTGAAGTTCTTTTTATTTTTTGTACTTGGCTACCCAGTTGTTCTAGAATCGTTTTGAAAAAGACTGCCTTTCTCTCCTCATTTGCATTTGTATCTTTGTCAAGATCCGGTTCTGTTTTCCGTGTATCTATAGAGTCTATTTTGTTCAGTTGATCTAATTGTCTATCTTTATACTGACATTGCACTATTTTAATTATTATAACTTTATTGTGGGTTGATATCAGGTAGGCTGAAGTGAAGTTTAGTCACTCAGTCATGTCCGACTCTTTGTGACCCCATGGACTGTAGCCCGCCAGGCTCCTCCATCCATGGAGTTTTCCAGGTGAGAGTACTGGAGTGGGTTGCCATTTCCTTCTCCAGGGGATCTTCCCAACCCAGGGATCCAACCCAGGTCTCCTGCATTGCAGGCAGATGCTTTACCATCTGAGCCGCCAGGGAAGCCTGAGTCTCAGGTAGCCTGAGTCTGATGTTTCACGAAGCATCTTTGTCATGAGCATTGGTTCAGTGGACTTCTCTTCCCAATCCCCAGGATATGCTTGTCACCCTTTCAGGCTGCAGAATTTCATCCTGAGCCACATGTCAAACTGTTTCCTGTGTCCCTTAGGGAGAGAGAACCTGACTCAGGCTCAGCTTGGGAATGCGAGGTCACAGGCTGTAAACATTCGTCCCTCTGCGGTGGGTTGTGAAGTGCGGGGCTGGCTTACAGTGGCTCTCTGTTAGGTGGGTCCTCAGTCATGGATTTTCAGCTGCAACCTGTGTATCCCAAGAGGGTCTGGAGAAACTTTCAGGGTCATAGGATGGACTCTAAGCTGGGACCCGCTTCGTCACCCTCTCCGCTTTACCTGCTGCAGCCCAGAGCATGGAACGTTTATGTGAAGTTTGGCTGAAGCGTGTTCGGGACCCAGGGATTCGGGCTTCTCGGGGCTGGGTGTGAGGGGCGTGGCTCTTCCCTCCACCCGGCGCAGGCCCTTGGGCCTCCTGGAGTGCAGGTCCAGGGTGCTGCGGGCGGCTGGTCGCCCAGCCCTGGGGCCCGGTGGGCCCGGTTCTGCTGGAGACCACGTGTGTGCTGCTTGGGGCTGAGCAGCAGGCCCTCTGAGATGCTGCTTTGCCCTTTCTAATGTTGGGGACCGGAAGGTGGCTGGTCAGTGGACACCATCATCACTTCTTTCAACCCAACCACTAGGCATGTGGGGTCTTAGCGCCCTGACGGGGATCGAACCCACACCTCTGCCCTGGAAGTGCAGAGTCTTAACGGCTGGGCCACCAGGGAAGCCCCCCAGGGCCACTTCTTACTGTGCCCCTGACATCCTCTTTTTGAAAAGCACTGGGTCAGTAATTAGTGATAAAAATGATGTCCACTCGTTAACACCTGCACTCGGTCACCAGAATGCCCCTGGGGCCTTCTCTGCCCCCCCTGTGGGCTGGGGTCCCGGACTCCCGCTGGGATGCACATTCTGGCCTCCAAAGCCTGAGTTCTTTGCCCTAAATGCTTCCTAGGTGCCATGGCAGAAGCAAATTTCTTTTTCATTTGTGTGTTTCCACGGTTACTTAAAGCAGACTAAGAAATCTCAATACATTGACTCAGATAGATTTCAAATCAATATTTTAAAAATCAGAGTGAATTTAATGTGGTTCAAGAAGGTTTCTTTTTTTGAGTGTCTTGGGAGTGGAGACACACGGGTGTGTCTGTCTCAGGCTGATGGGTCAGAGGGTCAGGCTGTGTACAGAGGGCGCAGACATGGTGCAATGTCTGTCTGTGCTTGATTCCAGAGGGTCATGGACGTGGCTGAGGCCGCTGGGGCGCCTCCGTGGAGCTGACAGGTGGAGTGCCCAGCTGGCTGCTCTCCCTTCTGGGTGCTGTGGCCGTGGACGCTTGGGTGTCCGTCATTCATGACGGTGGGTGAGTGTGCGGGGGCGAGGGGACCGTCGGGGGCTCTGAGGCTGTGGGAGCAGACGGGGAGGGAAGGTCGGGGCGGGGGGCGGCCAGGGCTGTGGGTTCTGCGGTGACCCGTCTGGCGGCTCCTCCGGGGAGGGTCCTTCTGTGCAAACAACAGCAACACTTACTGGGCCCCGAGCGTCTGTCACCTCGTCTGCTCCTCCCAGCACCCCCGGAGGTGGGTGCCCCACTGTCCCCAGTCTGGGATAAAGAGGCGAGGAGTCAGGAGGTTACTGATGAGTCCACAGCCCAGGGCCGGTCCGTGGCGGGGGAGCTCCAGGCCCGGGTGCTGGCTGTCACTGCAGTTGCCCAGGGAGCCGGGGCGGGGTCGGGTGGACAGTCCTGCTGTTAAAAGTCAGGAAGCCAAGAAAACTGGCGCGTTTTTTTGAGCAAAATGATAGAAAACGCTTCCAATTCATGCATGAAAAAAAGCATAATTTTGTTACAGGAGACAAATGTGTGTGCAGAGCTTTTCTGAGCACCCGAAGTGTCTCATTTCTTAGTCAAAACGTGTCTTTTCCATTCATCTCGTGATGTGATAGTGTTATTAGCTCCCTCTAATTTCTCTCACATGTGTCCTTTTGAAAAGGTCTCACTTTTATTCAGAGCAAAGTGGGGTGGGCACTCTGCTTCCAGAAGCCAGTCACCTCCAGTAAAAAGCCAGCACTTGGGAGAGAGGCAGACGGCGGCACCTGGGTAATTACAGTCCGAAGCAGAAAGAAGCGGTTTTCCTGCAGAAAGGGATAATTGAAATGTTTGGTTTTTACCTTGAGCCTTCGCAGCAGGGCCCTGATGTTACTGCCCTTTCGATGAGGTTCCCGCTGTCCTTGGTAAGGATTAGAAAAGTATATTTTGCAAGGGTGTTTGCCTTTTGCATCTCCTGTGTGTTGGAATAAACTCTAGTTTCTGTGCATTCATGGGACTTTCACATCAGAGCCCACATGGGTGAGCAGTGAACTTCTGCTATAGAATATTCAAGATGTCAGCTTTGGGAGGCTGCTGAGTACAGTACAGAAACAGTTTTTCGGGGTTCACTTTAAATAATTGCTGCTATCACGGTCTAGTAGGGTTCTGGTTAAATCAATTAAAGCTACAGGATCAAGACTCAATGTGATAAAATTCTAGTTTTCTCACCTTTTCTGTTCTGTATTGGCATGGAAAGATGCCAGTTAGATCATCAAGGAGTGGAGGGATTTGTGTCTGTTAAAATTAAGATTGTGTAGAACTGGACAAAACATCTGTTAGACTGTGATTAGCCAAATTCCCCAAATTTCATTTGGACTGGCGCTGAAAGGACACGTTTGCCAAATAACGAGCAAGACAGATGCCCCAATTACATGATCATATTTGCAAGAACAGTTTACTTAAAATCAGAGCATCATTAGACACAGTGAAAGCGAAGTGACACATTGCCCCATTTATCACCTTCGGAAGCAGCCAAGTGTTTTCTGGTTTGACTGCGGCTCTTTCATTGCTCATCACCCTTTTAATGACGGTGTCCTGGTAACCACAGATCTGACCTGTAGCATGAATTAAATGCCTGAAAGCAGTGCAAGTGTCCACAACATTTAAACTAGAAGAATCAATGTCCAAGTCTTTTGATATGGGCACCAAGAGACCCGGCAGCTCACGGTGCCAAGATTTTAACTCAAAACTCTGAGGGTGCGGTGTGGTCCACCTGCCCAGGTCTTCCTCCACGGCGATGGTGACGCTCGCTCTGGGACTCAGGGAGGAGATTGTTAAAGGAAGTAACCGGATCCGATGCCCTTTTTCTCAGCCCCGCCCTCTGTGGGTGGGGGGTGGGCTCCTGGCCTGGCTCCAGCACCAGAGACTGAGCCCTGGGGCCGCTCTTGGGGGGTCAGGGAGCCTGGGCCCCTGTCTCTGAAGGGCCTGATGATGGATCCCCTCCTGGACGCTTATCCCGGGCCTGCAGCCGGCTAGGTGCTCCGTGAAGATCGCCCGCCACTGCATCCCCAGTTTGCAGCATCCCCGGGGGCTTCTGCCTGAGCACAGTGCCCAGGGTTGGGCTTTTGCTGGGATGATGTGAGAGCAGAGATCACTTGGGCTCAGGTATTTCACCTTGCTCTCTCTCCTTGCCTGTCTTCAGGAGCTTTCCCTGAGCCCCCAGCAAAGGCGTCTGAGGGCCGTGATCTGTGGCGGGCGGGGGCGCGGGGCGCGTGGATGCTGGCAGGTCCTGGGCTGGTCTGGTAAGGGAAGCCACTGCTTTCCCTCTTCAGCCCCTGGGGAGGCCTCCCCGTGAACCAGCCTCCCTGTGAACTAGCCTTGTCTGCAGCGATGGGATGCTCCGATTCAGACTTTGAATTAGACTCCTCGTGCTGAAGAAGAGGGAGGCAAGAAGGATGGGAAACTGATCTGGGAGCCTGAACAAACTTCCATCACAACGAAACGTCCCCGGGGTCTTCCCTGTGCCCAGCAAGTAGAGCGCCAAGCATTCCTGTGGTTTGATTGGAACATCGTGGCTGATATAATTACAAATTAAATTCAGGAGAAGTCACTGGCCTTGTGCCTCAATGAATGGTTTTTAAAAGTTGTGCTGTCTTATGATTATAAAAGTCAAATACGCTTAGAGCTAGTCGCTCCGTTGTGTCCAGCTCTTTGTGACACCATGGTCTGTAGCCCGCCAGGCTCCTCTGTCCGTAAGATTCTCCAGGCAACAACACTGGAGTGGGTAGCCATTCCCTTCTTCAGAGTGGGGTCTTTCTGGCCCAGGGATCGAACCTGAGTTTCCTGCGTTGCAGGAAGATTCTTCACTGTTGGAGCCACCGCGGAATCCCACAATATGCTTGCTGGGGGAAATAAAATTTAGAATTTTAAAAATAGCATAAAAGGTAGTAAACACTTGTGAACACCCTCCTTGCACCTGGCTCTCTGCCCCTAGAGAAGAGCTCTGTTGGTTATTTATCTGGATTCTGCTTCAAATAGATACAGCGTGTGTTTCGGTGAGAGACTCCTCCTGCGGGCCCTGCTTAGATCCATTGCCTTCGGAGCGGGTCGGACCTTGGGGACGGCCTCCTGTGGCCCCACTGCTGGGGCCTGTGACTTGCTCAGGGTCACGGCGTTCCCTGGTGCAACGGGGGCCCCAGGCCACCTCACCCCCAGGCAGCCTCCCTCCGTTGTCCTGACACACGAGGCCCTCCAAGCCCCCTCTCTCTTGTCTCTGCTTCCAGAAAAGCTGGTGGGAGGAGGGAGCCTGCCACTTCATGTCACTTGGCCTAAACAAGAACGCTCCATCCAGTGGGTGGCAGAGATGTCCCAGCCCTGGCCACGCCGCTGCTCCCTGCACCTGCCCGCCTTGCCCAGACACGAACCACTGGCTGCAGAGACAGGACTGCTGGCCTCCAGACCCTCTCTTTCCATGTGCCAGCCTTCCTGCCATTACTGACCTCCTTTGGGGGAGGTCTCTTCTTGGCTAATACCCCTTGTTATCTGACCTCAGGTGAAGCGGGATGGCAGGGAGCAGTTGGCAGCCATATGGGATGTTCATATAGCACTTTATATTTTCCAAAGCATATTCTGTCATGTCCCAGAAAGGCAGATCACTGTCCGGGTCAAAGGGGGCTGGGGAGAGGAGTTGTGCCTGGGGAGAATCGGGAAGGCTTCCTGGAAAAGGTGCCCTGGGATTGGTCTTGCGGGCAGTCTTCACCCTTCTCTAGAGTGACGGGGCTCATGGCTTTTCCTTCCCTCTGAGATATAAGAGTTAGAGTAACGCTCAAGTTTTTTTTTTTTTCCAGAACATATTTGTTTTTAAAACTATTCCAGGAAGTGTGTTTTAATTAAAGATATTTAAGAACTTTTCAGCAAAAGAGAATTGAAGTTGGTTCATTTCGAGCTTGCTCGGCTAAATCCTGGTTTCATGTCCTGTTTCCACGAAATTCTTAGGGTTAAGCCTCTGTTTCACTTGGTGGCTTCAGAGCCTCAGGGTTCCGGGGAGTGACGTCGCGGGCTGCCTTCAGAAGTAACTGTGTGCGTGCGTGCTAAGTCACTTCAGTCGTGTCTGACTCTTGGCGACCCCATGGACTACAGCCCACCAGGCTCCTCTGTCCATGGGATTCTCCGGGCAAGAATACTCGAGCGGGTTGCCGAGCGCT